AAATGCATACTAGGTAAGCAACCATTTTCGCAAGGCATGCTTTTTGACAGCCGTTATCCTGATGTGACTGAGATAAGCTACACACTAATCGATCCTAGACCCCTGCTTAAGTAATTTCCTCGAGTTGCGGAATTTTGGTTAAATAGAAACATGAAAATCACTGTAGTACGTTCGCCGCAGAAATAGCTGATAAAGGAAAACTTACAGGTCCTATTCTGGCCTTAATTACGTCCCGAATCTCCACCCAGCCTTCCAGTGAAAGAACTTCAAAAAGGGCCAGCATCGCGCTGCCAATGTTGTCGAAGTTGAAATTGCGCGGGTTGGCCCAAACCCTGGGCACTAAGATTTTTGGAACAGGTCCACCAAAACTCTTTAGTTTGGTGACGGCCAACTCACGGTGGAACACACCCTTGCAGTCCTCCTGAAAGCACAAAAATGGTAAACATTGAAGAGTTAGCAGAAGGGTTTTGCGATGAAGTCGGGAAACTGTCAGTTTTAAGCTCATCAAAAACGTCTTTCAAACATATTACGGCAAAGGTTGACAAAAATTGGCTTTCTGCACTGAGGACACACGCTGGAAAAATAATTTGCTCAGAATTCCAGGGAGGGGGCATCTATTGCAAAAGCAAGAAAAATAATTGTGCGAAACTGTATTGGGCAAATATTTGTTAAATGACGTGACACAGTAACGACTACTTCAAAATCACTGTTTAATAATGAGCAAAGTTCTTTGGTCTGGCGAGCGCACTAGGGCAAGGTTCGATAAATTAAATCTCTCGGGGACTGGTAGCAGTTCTTAACCATATTCAAAAAATATTCAAATAGAATGATAACACTTATAGGCAAATAATACAGCCCATGGTCATATGTACACCACCGATAGTAGCGTGAATCAAGTTACGTCCAATTTTATACGTCACTCATCAACATAGATTTGTCATTTTGAAAATTCACGAAAACCGTATTTAGCATAGCCGTTTGTAGTCTATTTTGCCCTTGCAATTTCTGACATTCTAAATTATAGATTATTTTGTATTAACAAATATCCACAATATTTATATGCTCAACTGACTCGGCCACCAATTTTTGTCACGGACTACAGGCTAGATAACAGATGCATAATTTAAACTCCGATTCGTAATTTTGTTCACCTGGAGGCAAAACGACAAACCTAGGTTCAGAAATACGGGAATATCTGGGAAAGAAGCAGGTTGAAACATATTTGTCACATGCATGAGAAAACTTAGCTGCTAGCGTTGGACCTTTCAAGGAACCGTCCCCACTTTGTCTTTTTCATAATGTTATCTGCGGGACACACAATAGAGACTCTTTACCAGACACAAAATACATTGGGGTGGCCGCGATCTTTTGGATGTATATTAACTCATCTTTTTGGGTTTTTGTTTCGATAAATTTTTGACAGTCTCTCGGACGAAACACCCGTAGAGATTTTGCATGCATCATCGGGTGACTTGCCTAACAAATCATCTGTAATTACTTTAATTATAAGTTGCTCCGCTCGGATTTAAATCGCTACCAACCATTTATCATTTACAAGTAAGCCTGGTTGTTCTTATCCTAATATATTGTCGTGATTCCTCCTCGATCACGGGAGTTGCGTTCCGAAACGCCTCGCAGAAGGTGAAACTACACGAAATAAAAGCCCCACGGTTATCCAGTTATTTTCATATATTTAAGCCCTTAGAAAACCGCCCACATCTTACAAACATTTCCCACACAGTTATACAGTATGTTCTCTGAAATATTAGATAAGATTCGTTGAAACTATGTATTCTAAAACCGTTTTTATATACTGCGTACAAAATATGTATCGCTTTCCATTGAGGAGTTGTATACAAGACGAAATACCAATACCCAATAGCGTGCCGCATATGAACTCAAAGGGGCAAACCAACCGAGGCCATTGGCCGCTAAACTCTGCAAACCAGCAAAAATTCCACGATAAAGTAAAGCCACGAAAGTTGATGTGCGATAAAGCGAGGGATTACTGCATAGTTTTTAGACTGTTGGAAAAAAACCACGACTCATTAATCTGCTGCCTTCTCTCTCGAAATAAACACCTAACAGATTGTCGTTTTATTAGGGGCAAGAGAAACATGCAAAAACCGTCAACTAAAGTCACTCATTATCTCCCAAGTAATTGAAGCGGCACTTCGGCCGAATGGCATCACAGAAAAACTAGCCTCTTAAAAGAATGATAAGGGGCATTCGTTTTTTTACCTTGCGAGTTATAGAACGATCATTGCAAATAGCCAAACGTCCCCCAAACATGTGGACGCCATACACGGCGAAGATAAACACGAAGACCACGAGCAGCACTGTGACCTGAAAAGGACGGAAGGGCATGAAATTAACGCTGGTTGATTGTTCAATTTGATAGACAAATGTCATGCCATTGCTTGGCGAGACTGGTTGGTTATACAAAAAAAATTTAATCTTTTACCAAACTGGCAGTGCACGTGCTACTTCAAATCCCACACACTAGTTACGCCAATCTTCTGCGCGTTTCTCGAGTATTTACCAGAAGACACACAGAGGATGCTGGGGGAGCCATTGATGAGCCGAACCCCTTACCCCAGAAACACGTATCTGGGTTTTTGGCTGGTACCTCTTCTGTCAGTATGGTAAGTGACTGCATAAGAAATTCGGCTTATGGCTTTTGTTTCGTCCTTTTCCTTCTCCGATTGTATCCAGCAGTCACGCGTACGCCAAAATCAGTGATAAAAACTATGAAGGTGGTACAGTACTATTAAGAGAAATATTAACATATAAATACACAAACCTTAACAATGGATATTCCAAGTCAAGAGCAAA